CGGCGGTGGAAAGCACGCCTTGGAGACCAGTGGTCGACACAGCCATCATTCGCTTGAACAGGTGAGAGGCGGCCGACAACTGCCTCCCCAGATGACCAGCGATATCCAGCCAGCTCTGCGGAGGAGGCAGCAGGGCTGGACTCGCCATGGTCTCCTGCGCCGACTACAGCACGTTGTCGAAGCAGCCGCTTGAAGCCCCAGCAACCGGAGCCGTTGGAGGGACGACGACCTGGTCCGCTTCAAAGTCCGACGACACAGCAGGTGGATTTCTTCGTTTCGACGCCAACTTGGACATGACGACGCAGGTTCGTTGGCACTTCTAACACCAAATGTAGTGTCGTGTAGAATCACTCAGTCGGACAAGTTGTTCCAAGTCACCTGCTTACACTTTATTACGCTCTCTCGCACCAGTTGTAGGCACTCCTATCTCTGTCTATACGTTTACTTTGTTAACCAACTTCCCCTATCTACTTTACACCTCACTAACCTGCCTGCGGCAGCTCTTCCTCTCGGCAGCTCCGCACTCACAGCTCCACACACAGACAGCAGCTCACACAGAGCTTGTACATAGTCGTGCTCACACAGAGCTTGCACACAGCAGCGCTCACACAGAGGCTTCGCTTACACAGAGGCTTCGCTCACACAGAGGCTTTGCTCACAGAGAGGCTTTTCTCACACAGAAACTTCGCTAATACACAGCTGCTCTCCTTCTGTGCCGCTGCCCTTGCCTACGTTCCCTTAGACCCACTCACTCGTCCGATCCGGGCAGGGGGATCAACAATCACCCGCCCGTCGACTTGTGAAGATTGAGGTCCGTCCCAGGCTTGAGCAGCAGCAGCGAGGAATCTTTACCTTGGTCCCAGAACCCGAACTCCCGCTTGAAGGCCACATGAATTGTGGAACGCTTGCTGGCAGTAGGTCACGGGACAGACCCAGGTGCCATTGGTTTACTGACTTACATGACTTGCCGATGTACCACCTGTACCCCATACTGTGCAAACTTCCTGTGATTTAGCCACGTGGTGCTCTGCTCATTGTTGTGAGCGTCGCTCCTCTGCCGTCCGTTGTTGCTGGAGGGCGACTGCCTCCAACTGCCAGTAGCATACTTCACGAGCCTCCTCCACAGAGGCTGATCCTGATACCGCTGGTACCAGTTATTGGCAAGTCCACTCAGCTCCATATCCTCTCGTGCCACATCATTCTATGTCTTCTCTAGTTCATGTCCCTCTATATAGCCGAACAAAAGCTGTTTAGGCATGCGCTGGCTGGGGATGTGGGCTACATGACCCAGCCAACGCAGCCTTGCCTGTGAGAGGAGCCCACCGATGGGACTGTGTCCAGATCTTTCAAGGATTTGTGAGCTCCTTACACACTCCAGCCTGGATGAAGCAAGGATGGATCGTAGGCAGGCCAGCCTCAATGTTTCTAACCGGCATAGATGTTACATTAGGGAGGTCCACAATTCACAAGCTCAGAGAAGGGAGGGCATGACCCTGGCCGTGAAGACTTGAAGCTTCTTGTGGAGCGACAGACTAGGTAGATTCCACATAGCATTACACCGCCGATGAAAAGACAATGCCGCTTCACTGATATGGAGTGAGACCTCTGCTGTCAAACCGGAGCTGGTCATGAGCACACTGCCCAGGTATGGAAACTTCTCCACTCTCTCCATAACTGCCCCGCCAATCGGGAGTTGAGGGGGTGGAGTGTTTGATGACACAAAATACCCAGGCAGGTGCTTAGTTTTGGAGGGGTTGATGGTAATAATAATAACAATAATGCAATTTATAACGCGCACAAATTTGCGGATGTAACAACCGCCACTCAGAGGCATGGAGCCAAGCTCAGAGTCACTCGAAAGCGTGGTTGTAGAGAGGAGTTTTTATGTGTCTCTTGAAGGAGACGATTGAGGTGATGCTGCGTATGTGCAGAGGGATTGCGTTCCAGACCGCCACTGAGAAGCGGTGCATAGACGTGACCATCCTGGATCTTGGTATCAAGAGGAGGTCGTGAGTCGCACTGCGAAGGCATCTGCCGTGTGCTGTGCTGCAAGTCGTCAAAAATGAAGAGAGGTACGGGGGGCAGGCAGATGTGAAGGCATGGTGGCAGAGGCAGGCGATCTTGTATGTGACCCTGCTGGCAATGGGTAGCCAGTGGAGGGCACGGAGAGAGGCAATTGAGTCGAGACGGGGATGAGTGCGGCCAATGACGATGCGTGCCAGGTTGTTTTGTAATCTTTGAAGTTTTTTTAGGTTGCCAGAGGAGGACCAGACAGGATGGAGTTGCAATAGTCGAGGCGAAACCCAACTATGCAAGGCCCCACCTCTTAGTAGCATGCTCCAGCAGCACCTCCAACTCCTTCTCTGAGTGAGCAGCAATCACCAGATCATCAGCATAGATAACATGGTTGACCTATAGAGAGCTATCTCTCGACTGCACTGGGCATCAGTCAGTCTCCCATTGTATCTGTATCAGATGGAAATTCCTTTGCTACAACCGTGGTAACCTCGAACGAAGTGGTAAACAATGTTAATGTCAGAACCAGATGATACCCCTGCCGCACCCCAAGATGAATAGAGAATGGCTCTTACTCCCGGCCACGTTGCTTTACCAGGGCATGCCCACCATCATGAAGGTCGTTAATGGTGGTGATAAGAGAGTCAGGGACTCCAAAAGCACGAAGGAGAACCCAGAACCCAGGCATATTGGTGGTATCATAGGCCTTGACCAGGTCAATAAAGCATATGTGTAGGTCCTGTTGTAGCAGCCGGACAGAACATATAGCATCTGTGCAGGACCGTCCAGGTCTGAAACCACATTGGGGCTCTGCAAGCCTCTCCTCAGCATACCTAGCAAGGTGATGTTGAATAATCCTTGGCAGGACCTTTCCCGGCACACTGAGGAGGGAGATGCCCTGTAGGTGTTACAGTCTTTACGGTTCACCTTCTTAAAAACGGGGACTACCAGGGCATCCTTCCAATCCTGCGGGAGCCGTCCAGTGGTCCAGGCAGTTATTATGATGTCATATAGGGCAGTCTGCACACAAACCCCATCCTCCCTCAGCAGTTAGCTTCGGGGATCATTTCTGCCCGGCGCTTTTCCTGGTCTTAGACTCTGGATCACCTCCAATGCTTCCTCAATAGATGGCACCTCAGCCAGCAACTCACAGGGGGTGACATGGCCTGCCAGCACTGAACCAATTTCTCAACCACATCAATTCCATACACCCGTCTATCAAATTCACCATGGAAGTGGAAAACGATGGCAAGCTACCATTTCTGGATGTTTTGACCGAGAAGAGACCTGATGGCTCGTTGGGACACTCTGTCTACAGGAAAGCCACCCACAAGGATGCCTATCTAAAGCCTGCCTCCCACCACCATCCAGCCCTGAAGAATTCGCTCATCAAAACACTACACCATAGGGCCCGTTGCATCTCCGACCAGCATCACCTAGCCAGTGAGCTGGAGTACGTACACCAAGCCCTCAGGATGAACGGATATTCTGACCGTACAATCCGCAAAGCTGTCTCCCCAGCCATGGGGAGACAACCATCTGAGGATCCAACCAATAGCATAACTGTGCCATACATAGCAGGGGTTACCAAAATATTTCCAAAATCTTAAACAAACACAAGATCCAGGTTCGTTTCAACACAGTACACAAAATCCGTGATTTGATCCCATCTGTAAAGGATGTGATTCCTTATATGTCTACAAATTGAGTTGTGGCTGTGGCAGCAGTTACATTGGGGAAACGAAACGACAAGTTTCGAACCACGTTCGCGAACACAAGGAAAATCTGAAACACGGTAGGACCAATGCCTCTGCCGTTGTTGATCATTGTTTTAACGCAGTGGGCTCACACGAAATTGACTTTTCCAAGACGAAGGTACTCTGCAAACCCACCGGCTATTATCAGAGATGTGTTCATGAAGCCATCCAGATATATAAACACAGACAGAATTTCAACCGAGAAGATGGGTACAAACTGAGCAATCATTGGAAGGACGTTATTAGCCAGGTAAAGTCTTAACTGACTGTGATGCTTCCATCCTACCTGCCTATGTCAGCTGTTATTTCCGACTCTCTGTGTCTTTCTCTCTCTGTGTGCATCTCTCTCCGATCTCTACTCCAGTGACCCAGGTGCTGCCATGGGGTCCACTTTTCTGCCCTGCCTCCTCCCCCCCCCCCCTTCTCTCTCCCCCCCTGCAGCCGATCTTTCCAGTGCTGCCGCGGTGGTCCACTTTACTCCAGTGACCCGGGTGCTGCTGTGGGGTCCACTTTATTCCCCGCCTCCTGCCCCACCCTTTCTCTCTCCCCCCCTACTGCCGAGGCCTATATAACCTCGTGCCACGGCAGATCTCTCGACTACTTCAGCAGTTTTTCTTGCTGTGGTTGTCCCACCTGATGACGATTGCTTGTGTTGCGATCGAAACGTTGTGATCTATTATTTTTCTACCTACATGACTTTTCCGAAAGAACCAAAGCGTATGGGGATGATAATGTTTGAGTGTCAGACTGCGGTGTTACTCAGGCACCGGGTTAGGGAGAAACTGCAGCTAATAACAGAGAAACGTCACAGGCAGAGAGAAATGCCTCGGATACAAATTCACTCCAATCAAGAGAGAGTGAGATTACAGGGAATGGTTTCTCCAGGTTTAAGAACCTGAAAAAGGAATTACACATTGGTATATTAATATATTGGTGGTACATCGGTGCAAGGAGAAAAAGCTAATTTTTCGTAAAAATTATTTCTTTTCCTACGATTCACAACCTCGGTCAGAAAATGTTGTGAGGTGCATCAAAATCAGTTCTCATGATATCTAAGCAGCAGGAAGACAAATGTTATGAGCAGCTGAACACGAATATTCATAGTATGTTACCATATAGCACCCAGCGTGATGACGATTACCAATACGTCCATATGCAAATGATAAAATCGCTAACTACTATACTACTGCTTTCCACACTGTATAGAAACACGCACTCGGTCCTCACCGTAGCCCGACTATCTGCCCGCAGAAGATGCCCAGGGTGAGGAAGATGGATGTGCTCATAGCGAGGGCACCTCTCTGGTGCTGTGGGGCGCACTCGCTCAGGTACATGGGCTGCAGGCTCAGCCCCACTCCTGGAGAACCCACATCAGCAGCAACAACATCAGTAATAGCAGCAATAGCATTAGTAACAGCAAAAGTTATTTGTCGCAGTAATAGCATCAGTAAAAGCAGAAATTGGCATATATAATAGTATAAGCTATAGAGAATGTCGAAGAAAATCTTCACAATCAAAACATTAAACTTGGCTCAAGTACATCCAGCCGTTAGAATTTTATAGGAAACCTCCCAAACTCATCACAGTGCCACGGAATCGGCTGAGAGGTTGGAATCTGTACGAGTAAGTAGAGAAGGTTATAGAATTGGGGGGTGGGGGCACGAGCTTATATCGGTTGGCACTGTACGTAGCCAACTGTGTTAATCGGAGGTGCGGGGAAGGACAACAAACTAAACACAAAAAGTAGTTTAAAAAAAATTAGTTTTCAATCAAGTTTTAAAAGTGCATAGCTCCACTAGCTTTCTAATATTCAGGCAGCCACTGAAGTGCATCCAAAAGCGCGCGATGCAGTGACCGTCTTTGTTCGATGGCTAGCCAAAAGCCGCTGTGAGGATGACCAGAATTCGCGTGATGATTTATGTTCCTTGACAATATCAACAAGGTATTATGGTTCATTTGTGGCAAGCACTTTGTGTAATGCGGCCTTATAATGTAGTCGTTCAGTAACCGGAAGCCAATGCAGCTCAGCAAGCACTGGACGGACAAGTGAATAGTGGAATCAGAGCTGTCCCTACAGTACAGGAGACCCTTGAATATCACGCGGTTTATGTTCTTTGAAAGTGCCGCGAAAGCGGCTGGCACAAGGGCCAGCTGTTCAGCACACCTAAGCTGCCTGATCCTAGTCTGTCATGTGAGCCCACTGAATTATAACAGTGATCTGCCACGGCAGAGGAGTTCGTTCTACCGTGTTTCAAGTCTGCTTTATGTTCGCAGATGTGGTCTGAGATATGTCGTTTGGTTTCTCCAATGTAGCTACTACCACAGAGGCACTTTAGTTTGTAAACGCCCGGGTACTGTATGTCTGGAACAGTATCGTTTACAGATGGAACCAGATCACCGATTTTATGTACTGTGTTGAATCGGACCTGGATCTTGTGTTTATTCAGGATTTTGGAGATCTTTTTAGTGACCCCTGCAATGTAGGGCAAGGTGATGGTTTTGAGTGGCTCCACAAGAAGATCCTTCTTCATGACTGGAGTGATGGCTTTGCGGATTGTGTAGTCGGAGTAACCATTAGCCCTGAGAGCCTGGTGTACGTGCTTGAGTTCACTGGTAATGTGTTTCTGGTCGGAAATGCATTGGGCTCTATGGTATAGAGTCTTGATGAGGGAGTTCTTCTGGGATGGATGGTGGTGGGAATCCGGTTTCAAGTAAGCATCTGTATGGGAGCTTTCCTGTAGACAGAGTGGCTCATTGAACCATCATGTCTCCTTTTAATTAAGACATCCAAAGAGGGTAGTTTGCCATCTTTTTCGACCTCCATGGTAAATCTGATGGATGGGTGTATGGAATTGATGTGGTCGCGGAATTGGTCTAGAGCAGGCTGGCGATGTGGCCAGATGACAAAAGTGTCATCCACGTACCTCTTCCATAAGGTCGGGCGTAGAGTGGCAGTCTGGATGGCATCAGTTTCAAATTTTTCCATGAATACGTTGGCTACAACCGGAGATAGGGGGGAGCCCATTGGGGTGCCCTCAGTTTGTTTGTAGAAAGTTCCATTCCAGGTGAAGTATGTGTTGGTTAAGCAATGTCTCACCAGGGGGGATACATCAGTATGCAGTCCTTGATGAACCAGGTCTTCAATGATAGCGATGGTGTCAGGTACCGGGACTTTGGTGAAAAAGGACACCATATCAAAACTGACAAGCAGTTTCGTCTGGGGACAGGGAAATGCCTTTGATTGTCGATACCAGGTGAGTAGAATTTAGTACTGCAGAGGTGGTTTTTCCAGTGAAAGGTCGCAGTATATCAGCAAGAAAATGTGCCAGTTTATAGGTGGGGGAGTTGATAGTAGAGATGATGGGACGAAGGGGTGTATCTTCTTTGTGTATCTTTGGAAGGCCATATAATCTTGGTGGCCTGGCAGCAGAGGGTTTCAACGAGAACTGTTTGATCTGATCAATTAATGCTGTTGAATCAGAGATCATTTTGTTCGTAAATCGAAACTATAGCCCATATTTTCAACCTGTCCATCAAAGAAGCATCAGTTCATTTAGAATGGAAACATTCCTATGTCTGTCCACTTCACAAAGGGGGCCCTAAAGATGATCCAAATAACTACCGACCTATCTAAATTTTGTCCCCGTTGATGAAAATTTTTGAAAAATTATTGACCTACCAAATTAGCAGTTTCCTGTCCACCAACAATCTACTACATCTAAAACAATCTGGGTTCCGAAAAAAATACAGCACCACATCTGCTGCATTAGACTCTTTGAATCACATTTACAGTAGCCTTGATAATAAGCAGTACTGTGCCTGTCTTTTTCTAGACCTGTCTAAAGCTTTTGATACAGTAGACCACAACACCCTGCTTAGTAAACTAAGTTGCCTAGGTTTTTCCGAAAACGCAGTAAAATGGTTACAAAATTACCTCTTTTCTCGCACCCAAACTGTATTCACAGATGGTCGGAGGTCAAACAGTGTTAAGATAACAAAAGGGGTTCCACAGGGTTCCACCCTCGGCCCCTTTTGTTCTCTCTTTATGTCAATGACTTGGGCACTGACCTGGATCATTCCAGGGTAAATCTTTTTGCAGATGACACGATACTGATTACTGCTGGCCGCTCTCCGGATGACGTGATTGCTAAGCTACAGAGTGATTTAAACAAACTACAACATCAGCTAGTTACTCTTAAACTAGTCCTGAATACCTCCAAAACCAAGGTGCTATGCTTCTCACCAGGACTAAAGCAGGAAGTTATTTTTCCCCAATTACATTCCTTAAATAATTATCAAATAGAGCAAGTCAAGATCTATAAGTATCTTGGGGTCATCCTGGATTAAAAACTGAATTTTGAAGATCACATTGATTATATTGATAAAAAGACAAAAATAAAAATTTGTTTTCTGTATCGACACAAGCACTGCTTCCCCCCCAATGTTCCGTTTGGAATTGATTAAAGCTACCATACTGCCTCTACTTGACTACTGTGGCATCGTGTATAAATCAGCCCCAAGTACTGTCCTGAAGAAGCTTGATTCCATCTATCACTCGGCCCTAAGATTTACATTGAACTGCCCATATAGGACTCACCACTGTGATCTCTACATTGGGTCAAACTAAACATATCTTAATGTTCGGGGGCTTGTGCACCAGATCTTATTTATTCACAATGTACTTACAAAAAATCCGCAGACTACCTGCTGGATCTCCTCTCTGTTTCAAAGAACAAATTTGACCTCAGGTCTTCGCTCATTTTCCAGCTTCACATTCCCTATTGCCGTACAAAACCGGAGGAAGGACCTTTGCTATTGATGCCCCCTGGGTCTGGAATGCTATTGCTAATAAATTGCAACTTGAATTGCTACCAATGAGATCGTCTTTCAAAACTGCTCTTGAGGAGTTGTACACCCCTAGCTGCCACTGCTATTCATTGGCGTAAAATAAAATAAAATGTTTCGCTCCGGATGACGCTGCAAAGTATTATATGTATTTTGATTTAGCGTGCTGATCTTAAAGGTGCATTGAAAAATTTGATACTCCGACTGATGCTTCTGTTGTTGTGGAGTAACTCATGCAGCCAGCTATGGCTCTCGGATTTGGTGTTACATGTTATTTATATAGTTTATTGTAAAAATTCGGTCACAGTCCCTGTGATCACTGTTACGTTGCAATTATGGCTTTATTTTTTGGTGATTTCGAAAACATTTTTGGTTTGGACATGTTTGTTTTGTTGTAGTACGGAGTTAGACTGATGGCCTTAATCTAAGTTTTCTTGTGGTTGTTGTTGTTGTTTGACTTGCATCCCACTGGGATTTTTTGCACACAGCGTTGGTGTATGGTGCTTTTTTCAGGAATATTTTGCTGTTTTTTTCATGGATTTTCTGTTTGTACAGTCACATAGTCACTTTACGATGTTTTTCTTGTTGTTTTTTTTTTGTTAGTTGTCGTTGCACCCGATTCAAGAGCCGAATGGCTCACAGGGCTATACCAAAATAAATAAACTGAAAAAAAACTGAAACTGAATTGACCTGCTCCCGGCTTGTGGGCTGCTGCAACCTCCAGTCTGTGGTGATTGCTGCTGCGAGCTGTTGTGACCGCTAATTTGACAGCCCACTTGGACAGAGCACTGTAACACCTACATACACTATATTAGCCAGGCCTGCTCTTTGTCATCACCTTTGTTTGATGTCTGGTAGACATCCACTCTATTGGCCCCAATGGACTAATATTTAGAATGCTGAGGTACACTCACTCTGATATGGTTTCACTTAAACATAAAATTTGCAAAACAGTATTGGACTTGGACATATTGCATAATTGTGATTTGCTGCGGTACCCTAAGTACATTCATAGGGGTTTTGGTGAAAATTACTCCCGGTTTGGAAATACTGGAAACTGGATCAAATCCTTCTGGTCTAATATACGCCGCTCAACACATCATACTTCGCTAGACTATAGAGGCATTGATCAGAAGTCTATACGTTACCTTTCCCCTCTCCATTATGGCAATGCTACTCCTATACAAATCCGTCCGGTAACACACATAGCCAGCAATAGAGGACATGGACAGTATGAACTATTTTGTGGTGGTGGTGGTGTTAATGTAAGTAATGTAATCTATGTTACACTAAATGTCGTTCCCTCGCAGAGCCTGAGCAGCCCTATAAAAATGAATTGGCACTATTTAATGTCCGTTCACTCAGCAATAAATCACTCCTCATAAATGACCTCATTACGAAACGAAAGCTAGATAGCATGTTTTTAACAGAAACTTGGTCAAATAATGACGGGCCCGCCGTGCTGATTGAAGATACCCCCACGTGCTATAGCCTCTCATATCAGACTACACAATTTGTAAAGCTATCACCCCAAAAGTTGGGAAAGAGCCATCTGAGGACCCAATATAAACCATCACCTTGCCATACATAGCAGGGGTCACCAAAAAGATCTCCAAAATCATGAGCAAACACAAGATCCAGGTTCGATTTAACACAGTATATAAAATTCGTGATCTGATCCCATCTGTGAAGGATGTGATCTCTGACATGGAATTCCCTGGCGTCTACGAACTGAGCTGTGTCTGCTGCAGTAGTTACATTGGGGAAACTAAGCGATATGTCTCGGACTGTGTTTGTGAACATAAGGCAGATCTGAAACACGGTAGGACCAATACCTCGGCCATGGCTGATCATTATTTTAATGCGGTGGGCTCACATGAAATTGATTTCTCTAAGACGAAGGTACTTTGCAAACCCACTGGCTATCAACAAAGATTTGTTCATGAAGCCCTCCTCATATATAAACACAGACACACCTTCAATTGAGAAGATGGGTATAAACTGAGGAATCATTGGAAGGACGCTATCAACCAGTTTGTCATAACTGGCTGTGATGTTCCCATCCTACCACCTTCCAGTGTTAGTTGTTATTTTCGGCTCTCTGATTTTACATAAACAGGTAAAATTTCTCACACTAACACAGCCACCTCACTTGCTAATCTCTCACATTAACATAGCCACCTCCGCGCCCTCGTCGTGGAGGTCGCCCTCCGATCTGACATTAACATGCTAATTTCTCAAATTAACATCACAAGCCCCGCCCACTTCATTTATGACCCTTGGGCTACACTCATTTTAAATCTTTAAAACAGTCTGCCTCAGCAGTTTTTCCCCTTTTTTCTTCACAACACCCTTGTGTTGCAATCGAACCGTTGTAGTTTTTTCGTAATTTTTTGTAATTTTCTTTGAACCTATCTACGTGACTTTACCGAAAGACCCAAAGAATATGAATTCCTGCAGTCATGAAAGCTTTAAGCAAAGATTTAATCAGAAGGGGAGCGTATCTGGGTTAAAGATAAAAGGTGGGGTTAGTCTGAAAGCTCCGGGAACCTGCTTGAAGGTTCTGGAAGGGGGCGTGGCTAGAGGCGGGGCCAGGCCACGTCGAGAGGTATATAAGGGGGATGGGAACCGAAGGTTCAGGGTTGTTGCAAGGTCCCGGGTCCTGGCTGCATCGCTGCTCCCATCGTCGTCATCGTCACGCTAGTCATTAAGCTGTATTGTTGGATGTAGGCGATGGGACTATGTAGAGAGGTCGGCTGTGTGTAGCTAAAGTAGAATCGTATATATATTACCCAGTGTTGTGCCCAGTGAGAGGAGACGTATATATGTATTGGCCTGTGTTGTGCCTAATGGAAGAATAAATAAGAAGAAGCCCTCTATACGACGTGTCTCGGAAGTTGCTCATTATATAATGATGCGAGTTGTGGGGAGCGGTACTGTAGCGGTTAGCGCACTGTAATATGAACCTGGTGACCCGGGCTCGATTCCTGCTCACAGTTAACACCAGTGACGATTATCTGACCCGGTCCTGGGCCTCCCCTGGGTCGACTCAACCTCAAATGAGTACCTGGTGCAATGTGTAAACATCGCCACTGGAGAGACAAAGGTGGCCGGGCGTGATGTTGGCCACCCACCCGCTCGTGTGCCATGCCAGCCTTTATAGGTGCTCGCTAACAGCACTTGCCCCAATAGTCTGTTAAGGCTATATGGGGGATATTTGTCTTTTTATGTATGCGAGTGGGGAGCGGTAGTGCTATGGTTAGCACACTGTGCTACGAATCCGGCAACCCAAGTTTGATTCCCGCTCACGCCCAACCCCAGTGACGATTGTCTGAATTGGTCTTGGGCCTCCCATAGGTCGACGCAACCTCAAATGAGGATCTGGTGTGCTGTACCGGCCTTCATAGGTGCTCGATAACTGCACTTGCCCCAACAGTCTTTTAATAGGCAATACAGGGGGTCTTTGTCTGCGAGATGCTTGCACGGCAAAGGTTGAGGTGCCACTGCCTCGCGTCCCTCACCTGGCCTGCCCTGCACCATGGTATCAGCCAATGATACAGTACTTCCGGTTACAGCATACCCGCGAAAGGCTAAAACTAACCCTAACAATAGCTAAATTGGTATACAAAGAGGTTGCCGGATATAGCCATCCTACGAACTGGGAAGCTATAGGCTGATATCACTCCTGGGCAAGACCTATACACTCCTGAAATGCATCATCCTCCAGGGAATCAGCCTCATCGAGTCAGTGTACTAACCACTACAGCCCATGTATAATAATAGCGGTGAGGATTTGAACCAGTCATGGACCTTCTCTAGGTGGACTGAGCCTAAAATGAGTACCTGACATGGTGTGTAAACATCACTGGGGAAACAAACGCGGCCGGGCGTAGTGTTATCCATCCAGTTCCTCACTAACAGCTAACAGCACTTGCCCCAGCAGTCTGATCAGGCTTTAGGGGGTCTTTGTCGTGTGTGTATATATATATACAGAATATGTACATTTATATGTATATCTGGATCTGATTCATGCTCTTGATGATGATCTCACCCACCGCAGTTGACCCCGATGAGGAAACGGCCGATGATGAGGAGCTCAAATGAGGAGGAGACGTCGCTCACCCCCATGAGGACAGAGGCGAGGATCGCGAACGCATTGTTAGCGAGGAGACCGCACTTCCTGATCGCACAAAAACAAGGATAACGCCATGTCACCCCTCAAAAGCTGTTGGGGCAAGTGCTGTCCGCGAGCCTCTCTCATCTCTTTTTACGTCTCCCCTCGTGCTCTTCGTTCACAATCTTCTCCCTGCCTTCTTCCCTCCTTCTCCCTCTTCTCCCTCTGCCCAATCTCGTTTTCAATTTTCCTCCCTCCTTACAGCTTACCGCTGGAATAAACTTTCCCTGTACTTTATAAGCAGTCCCAATCCTTAATCTCCATCCATTCCTCTCTTAAAGCCTCACCTCTTCTCCATTGCCCAGTCACTTCCTCTTCCCTCCCCTCGCTCTTATACTCCGTTGCGTCCCTCCCCTGTAGCCCTTTCGTGACCAAAGTGCCCTCTGTTATGGTCACTCATTCTATGGCAATTGCATTGCCCTTGCCATCTAAATTACTCTAATTTTGTACCGCTTTTAAACTATGTAAAGCGCCTTGAGCTAAGGCGCTCTATGCATATAAAATAAGATAAACACCTATAAAGGCTGGCACAGACTCACACCCGGCTGTCTTTAACTCCCCAGTGCTTATGTTCACATGCACTGCACCAGTTACTCATTAAAAGTGGAGTCGTCCGAGGCGCTGCCCAAGGACTGGTTCAGATGTCACTCGTCAATGAGGTTAGCCATGGCCAGGATTTAAACGCAGGCCGTCAGATTCATTGCGCATGGGTGGGTGGGTGAGTCAGAGAATGAAACAGTGGGTGAATGCATATTTTTTATATGACTAAATGGGTGAATGGGTAAGTATATGGGTGGGAAACAATGAGCTCGTGAGTGTGTGAGGGCATGGGTGTGTGCGTGTATGTATGTATGTGTGCGTGTGTTTGTGTTGGGAGCGGTAGGGTAGCGGTTAGCGGGCAGAGGTAGGGTAGCGGTTAGCATGCTGCGCTACTGGGGAGATAAAGGCGGCCGGGCTGACCACCGATCCCCTCGTGGGGCGTTCCGGTTTTCATAGGTGTTCGCTAACAACACTTGCCCCAACAGTCTGTTAAGGCTATACGGGAGATCTTTGTCTTTGTTATTATGTGTGAGCATTTAAATGCGCGCGGGTATGGTTGAGTGTGTTTGAACGAGTGGCTAGGTGAGTGGGTAAGTGATTGAGTGCACACAATGAATGTGTGTGCACGTGTACGTTTACCTGCCAAGTTGCTGAGCCATGGGCCCCGCGAGAATGGCCCCCGCGAGTCCCCCCACGGCGAACACGGACGCAATGATGGACCAGATCAGCGTGAGCACGGAACTGCTCACGGGGTGCCCATAGCGCGACTCCCACGTGCTGTTAATGAAACCCTGCACAACCTGCGACACCCACATACACAGCTGTGTGTTATGAGGCGTCATTACTAAGCAGCCATGCTCAATCCACTGCTGGATGAATGCATCGACCAAGCCACCCGCCATGTATTATAATCCGCAGATGCAGCAATACGTGTAATACCAGCACGTGATTTCATCGCTCCATCTTCACACTATATGTACCTTGGATGCGTTCCATTCCTTGGCTACCACTCCGTGATAATTATTGACCATCGTCCATAAATCCTTCTATATATGACGTTTCCTGGGCAAGCCCTGCTCACCTAGCAGGACATGTGATGTCGTTAAACTGTGTGCTCATAATCCACGTGTTGCTCTTTGCATCTCTCGGTGTAATTGTAAGGGTGCATATCCTGCACACTTCTGTGTATGTGAACTATAAGATATTACACACACAAACTAAACACGGGATCACGATAACCGTTCTAAACATGATCTAATATGACCGGAGTTTTGTGTAAAGTTGTGTTTCTATTAGGGACTCACCATAGACAAAAGACATTGATGTTTCTTTGTTAGTTCATTTTGTTGAACAATGTGAGAATTCAAGAGGCCAGGATGAATTTCATTTGCAATAATGGCCTGGGACATTGGTCTGCCCTTCGGGGGCCAACGATTGCTGCTGATGTTTAAACGCCCAATTAAGTAATTTGCGGTGTATTTTTTTTATTTGGCTAAATTTGACCCCTGATGCCCGGCAGACAATGTCCTAATCTTGTGAATGACGCCACAGAATATTTAACATCCACAGCAAGTGAAGAAATGGCAATATATACACTATTATAAATAATCAGGGATATCGCTGGATTCGAACCATGAACGTCTTCAACACACCGCTGAGGCTGCGTCATTGATTAAAGGCGTTATTGCCCAAAACGAAACACGCACCTTGGTGGGGACGTTGATGAGGGAGAGGTTGAGCCCGTACTGGAAGCTGCCGCCGAGCCCCGTAGCGACTGCCATGAGCAGGAGGCGGGGACATGGAGTCTGGGCCATCGCCATTCAACCACACATGGGGAGAAGTAACCACGGCAGGTCAGAGGTCAAGGTGTAGCCCTGTGGGGTAAGTGGTGGCTCACGCCATTGTGTGACTACCACCGTCTTGAAGCTGCTGATGGTAGTGGTGAAACTATGATACTGATGATGATACTAATAATGCTGATGATCCTGATGATTCATAATAGAGTTTTTTTTGGGTTAGATCGCGAAAATGTGTCGTTAAACCCGCCATCACCCAACACAGCCAATTACTAAGTTTGTTACATAAACAAAACATGTCAATTAGTTACTTGTTCAGCACGCCGGTGTGTTATAGAGTAAACCCACATTTATAATTTGAGTACGACGTTTTGCCGGTAATTGCAACCATCCTCATCAGGCAATAGCCAGAATTGTGGATAATTCCTCCTGTTTCGATCTTAAATAGAAGGGGTGAATTTCATAACGTGACTTGTGAGCCAATCAGGTGCGAAGACCAGAGGGGGATTAATGTAGCCATATCATTACCCGTTGCTTCCGAGTTTGCGTATTTTGCTCCATCGTTGTTGCTGATGATGCTGACGATCACTATGAAGATTTTTCTACCTATATCAAACACACGGGGTGGAGTGTTGACACAATGGTTAGTGCACTGCGCCGTGGACTGCAACGAAAACAACAACGGAGGGCAGGAGAAGCGACGCTCCCAAAAACGAGCGAAGTGTCATGCGGATACAAATTAGTGAGGTGGCAGAGTGGGGGCATACAGTAGATGGTGCAAATCTGTAATCTCAGCCAGTCAACCCACACATAACACCTGATGTCTGTCCCGTGACCTTTTCACACTTCATGTGATGGCCTCAAAGTATACCTAGCCTGGCACAGGTGTTGTGGTGGCATTACCACCACTTTTACCACTTAGTAGCGAATTTGCGAATGCTGTATATGTGTGTGTATTTTGCCTGTGTTACATATTAGACAGAGACATTGTAGGGAACAGTGTGGATCAACCCCCTCCCCACCCCCTGTAAGCATTTAACAGAATGTTGGGGCAAGTGCTGTTAGCGAGCACCTATGAAGGCCGGAACACCATACGAGGTGGTGGTAGTGCGCTGTACTACGAGCCCAGTGACTCGACCAAATAACAGTTGCGAGTATTTGAAATGGCCCTGGACCACCTCACCTAAGTGAGCGCAGCTCTATTACCTGATGCTGTGTGTAAACATCAGCACTTGCGAGACAACGGTAGCCGGGAGTGGTCCTAGCCACCCCCTCATGTGCCATACCGGACTTCATAGGTGCTCGCTAATAGCACTTTCCCAAACAGTCTGATGAAGTCTATTCGGGGGATCTCGATCTTAGTATGTGTGAGTGTGTGAAGGTCTCACAGTGCCCATGGATATAACACCACGTCCTTCTAGTCAAAACAATGATTAACGCATAAATGTATTAACTTGGCAGCAATTGATTTTCACTACTCATTGGCCAATAAAATAGTTTGGACAAATGGCGCAACTCACAGCCCCTGTGTTAATTAATTGCTGGATGGATGAAGGATTAACCACGTGGCGGGTTGCTCGACCATACTTGACCGTGCTGATCAGTGCAGATAAAAGGTGAAGGAGGCGTGGAGTTTCAATTTAAGATATAATGCCCCACTCATGTTAGCCGTTTGCATGTGTGCATGAGTCGAGGTTGGAAATCGTGTTCGTTAACCACTTCATCAATCGCAAAAAGACAAATACCCCCGCTATGGCCTGAATAGACTGTTGGAACGAGTACTTTTATGGAGCACCAGGCTGGAATGGCACACGAGTGGGTGGGTGACCAGAATCACGCCCAGCCATCTTTATCTCCCCAACCCTGATGTTTTACACACAGCACCAGGTATTTCACTGGGTTGTAAGTGTTATTTTCCAATTGCTTATGCCTCAAAAGTACAGAAAATGGCTATTATTCCCCACAAACTTTGCTTTTGTGACCGCGAAAATATTTTGAAATGTACCTATGTTCAATGAGAAAACGTGTGCATTTGTGTTAAACCTTCACGTAAAGTCCTGGTCACAAAAGCAAAGTTTGTGGGGATTAATAGCCAATTTCTATACTTTTGAGGCATAAGCAATTAGAAAATAACACTTACTACTCAGGAATAAAAATCGTGTTACATAGTGAATTATTAATTTGAGTCTGAGTCGACCTAGGGGAGGTCAAAGGTCGGTTCAAATATTATCCACTGTTATAATTGAACTCTGGTCACCGGGGTTTTAGCGCAATGTGCTAATAACTTACACGCCTGCACCAATAACAACAGAAAAACAACCGCCATTCGCCACCAAGTGATGGTGACATTACCACGACACTTGTGCCAGGCTATGTGGACTTTAAGGCCACGTTAAGTGTCGAACGCTCACTGGCAGGAGGTCATGGGGCAGGCCCAGATGCCATTGGTCACCTGACTGAGATAAGTGGCCGATGCACCACCTGTGCCCCCTACTGTGCCAATTTGCTTTGTTTTAGTCGCAAGGCGCTCCGCTCGTTGTTATGAGCGGCGCTCCTCTGTCCTCCGTTGCTGTTGGAGGGCAACTGCCTCCAACTGCCCAGTAGCATCCTTCACGAGCCTCCTCCACAGAGGCAGATCTTGACACTGCTAGTACCAGTCATCGGCAAGTCCACTCAGCTCCACGTCCTCTTGTACCACATCACTCCATTTCTTCTCTAGCCCATGCAGTGCCCGTTTATCCCCCATATATCTGGCCGAAGAAAAACTGTTTAGGCATGTGGTCGCTGGGCATGCGGGCTACATGACCCAGCCAACGCAGCCTTGCCTGCGGAGCTCATCGATGGGACTTTGACCAGATTTTTCAAGGATCTGTGAGCTACTCACACAATCCAGTCTGGTTAAACCCAGGATGGATCGTAGGAAACCGGCGAAGATTTTCAATTAGGGGGTCCACGTTTCATAAACGTAGAGAAGGGAGGGCATGACGGTGGCCGAGAAGATATGAAGCTTTGTATGGTGTGACAAGCCAGTTAAGCAACCGATGAAAAGATAATGCTGCTCGACTGATTCGGTTGAGACCTCTGCTGTCAAACGAGAGCCGGTCATGAGCACACTGCCCAGGTATAGGAAACGTTCCACTTTCTCCACATTTGCTGGCGACACGAGTTCTAGTCATCAATTTGGAGTTGTGGGGGTGGTGTTTTCGATGGTACAAAATACCCAGGTAGGTGCTTAAGTTTTGGTGGGGCTGATGGTAAGTCCCCACCTCTTAGTGGCATGCTCCAGGTTCAGCAGCAGCACCTCCAACTCCTCCTCTGAGTGAGCAGCAATTACTAGATCATCAGCATACATAACATGTGTAGAGGAGTAGTGTGATGACGTCATGTCATGTGCGCTGTAAGGTGTGATGACGTCATGTCATGAGCGCTGTAAGGAGACACCTTCGAGAACAGGGGCAGGTCCGAGTGAAGGGGAGGAGCCACCTAAGGGGTGCTTAAGAGGGACCCCGTGACGAAGGCGTGGTCATTGTGGGAGCCCGGAGTGTGGATCGGCTGAAGGAGGTCTCTCCCGCCCGTGACCGGACTGTGTTGGCTGAACCCCCATCTGGGGTCGACAAGTAGGAAAGCCGAAGAAATTGCCGAGAGTAGGGCTCACAGAAGTCTGTGAGAATCGGCTGAGAGTGGGGTTCTTCTCTCCTCGGCCGGGCGGTGTTGGATGAACCCCTGTCCTGGCCCGAGTGAAATAGCCCAAGGGATAACCGCGGTTAGGACGAGTAGAGTTTGAGGGTCCACGGGAAGGACCGAGTATAGAGAACACCTACCCCTGGTGTGAGCTGAGTGTTTAAGCCGTGTTAATAAATAGCGAAAGCCCGTACAAGAAGTTCTGTCTCGGCGTGGTTCTACGACGCAACAACTGGTGTCAGAAGTGACTGCAAACCTTCGTCGCCATGTCGAAGTCGGCTACAAAGCATAAGAACATAAGAACCCATCTGTTGCGAGATAGGATGACGAAGATAGCTCAGAAGAAGCCCCCACAATGTCCCCAGAGTCCGGGGCCCTGGAGATGCGCCCCGTGGAGCCCGGCAAATCCACGCAGGAGGAGGTGGCGGCCGCGGCCAGCCACTCACCACCGCAGGAGAGCTGGAGACTCCTCACCAGCCAGTTCGGCCAGCTGCTGCAGTTGGCCGCGTGTCTCGTCTCTATGATGTCGGAGGTGGGAGTCCAGCCGTGCGTGCCCATCACATTTATGGAGCGAGATCGGGTGCTTCCCGCCATTTCTTCTCCTGCCACGTTCGAATGTTGCGCCGTTTTCTCAACGGACGCAGCAATCGGCTGCCATCTTGTCCCTGGGTGTGCTGCAGCAACCGGGTACTATTTTTGATGCGACACAGCAACCGGGCGCCATTTTTAACGTGACAAAGCAATCGGGCGCAATTTTCTCACAAGATGCGAGACAGCAACCGGGCGCCATTGCTTCTGCTGCAACGATGCCACCGAGTGCATCTTCAGGAGCGCCCACGCCGGTCTTCAGCTCCGGCTCTTCCAAACTTCGTCGCCTGCTACCTGTTCATCCATTCGTTGCAGCTGGAAGTCCTTTCAAGACCGGTTCGATGCGGCTTACGTCTCAGTCGGGTGTCCTATGGACGAGGCCCTTAAGGCACTCCTGATAGCATTAGATGATAATTCCCTAGCCACATTGAATTCGATTCCGCCTAAGGATAGGGCGACGCTCCCCATGGCGTACGCCAAAATGGCTGCTATTTTTCAGCCACCTCCAGTGCATGCCAGAAGTTCTTGCTGCGGAGGCGAGGGGAGGCCGAGATGCCTCTCGCCTTCTGCAGCTCCTTGTTGGCGCTGGCTTGGGCGGACTACCCCAATATCGATTTTGCGGTGCTCAACTCAGTGGCTTTGGAGCGTCTGCTCTCCTTCGCATGGGAGCTTGAGGTAGTTGTTCTACCTCTCGGCAGGTGTTTGCCTCACGGAAGATATGGGGGTGTTGTTGTATATAGGCCTTTTTACAAAATTGATATTAGTAATGATTTTGCCAAAATAATTTTTTTAAAATAATTATCGATAAATAAACAAAACACCCTCGGGCCTGCTACCTCCCACAAGCACCAAGCAGCTGGAGGTCGTAGAAGGCCATTAAATAATAAACTCCGGGGCAAAAGGGGGGATACAGCCCCCCCCCTCCCCTCACACAACCACCCGCTGGAGATAAGCAATAAAAAGTAATAAACCCCAAACCAAAGAGGAAGGGGGGGGGGAATTCCTCAAAGCCTCGCAGCTTCCAGGGCGACGAAAACCGGACAGACAGGTTTTGGGTTATTTTTAATTAACAGAAAGTCCAAGAAAAACTCAACAACGAGGATAAGCTGACATTATAGGAATAATCTCGGGAAACATAAGCCAAAATAATAATTCCATATTAACACTAACGTTGTTCACCTTAAATTACATTACATATTGCCGTTACATGACCTTACCAAAAACCAAGGAATATGAATTCCAACAGTCAAGAAACTTACCTCTAAAACTCAAGACATAAAAAAATAAAGTAAATAATAACTCAAGAAAAACAGCACCAATCTCCAGATACAGATGGG